AATAAGTGTGCTTGTAAACAGGGCTATATCGGAAGTGATTGCTCCCTAATCACATGTGGAGGAATTTCTCAATCGAATAACACCGTCTGTAGTTCAAGAGGTTCCTGTATTGGACCAAATATCTGTAATTGCTCAAATGGTTACTATGGATCCCAATGCGAGTTTACAACTTGCTATTCTGTACCAATGAATTCATCTTCAGTATGTTCTGGAAATGGAACTTGTTATAGTTTCAATAACTGTACTTGCTTTACAGGTTTTTATGACTCTACTTGTTCATGCAAAATTGGAACGGATTGCACTATTAGAAACACATCCTATATTGATAACTCTACTGTAGTTTCTAACACTACAAATTGGAATGTTACCTCCAATTCGAACTCAACAAACACCACCTCACCAACTAACACTACAGTCATTGTTGTAAACTCAAATTGTACATCATCTCTTAATTGCTCTGGTCATGGTGTCTGTAAGAATAGTAAATGTTCCTGCTATTCAACAAGCACAGCTGGTTATTGGACTGGGTATTGGTGTAATCAATGCAAGCCTGGATATTATGGAGACCAGTGCCTCACCTATTTTGGTTCGACGGTGAGAATAACTGCAGATTTTAAGGGATTGCAGTTCTATATGTACTCTCCTCCAAACAAAACAGATGTGAAAATATCATGCTCAAAGTTACTATTTAGTGTTGATGTGGCGAATAATCTTTATGGGTTGGAACGGGATATCTCATGTAGTTATGTTGACAAGACAAGTGGCTTGTTTATGATAACATTTGGTTCATTTGACTTTACAGTTTATCCAGGTTCCACCATTAAATTGAATATGTTGGTTTTCGATAATGTGCCAGCTTTTGCATGGAATTCTTTCACAGTTGCTTATCCTCAGAACATGACCACAATTGCACCCGTGGCAGCTTTGAAAATACCGCCTTTGGATACCTTCAGCTCTTGTGATGCTATACCAGTTGATGGATCTTTGAGCTATTCTGTCGATAGAAAACCTTTGAAGTATTATTGGTCTGTTGTTAACGCCTCCTCAATGACTGATGTATTTGCTGTGATGACTGCTCAACCAAATTTTATGGTTTCGGCAGAGCTTGCTCCAGGAAGTTACAAAATCAAACTTCAGGTCTACAGTGTTTATCTCAACAAGTTTAGTACACCTGTTTATTCGAAAACTTTTACAAAAGCAACTAAACCTCTTCCATCTCTTTCCATTTTTAAGGATGAAACAATAATTGAGAGATTTACTTATCAGTTTCCTCTAACTATAAGGAAATCAATAACAACCTCATCTTGCCAATCTGAATTTGACAAAGTGGAAGTTGAATGGAAAAAAGAAAGTGGATCAGCAATTGAATTTAAGGAGGATTCGTACAATAACTTGGTAATACCAGGTGTGAAATATTTTGAAGAGAGCACTTACATATTTAAAGTGTCTGCCTTCTATTCATCTGATCCAAGTTTAACAGTATCCACAACTGTTCGACTGAATGTTCTTACTCCAAATATCACACTTGGTGTTCTTCAATTGGAAGCAAAGGGTGATCACACTCTTCTCAAAGTTGATTATTCAGACCCTGAAACTTTAATCAACTCAGATATTGTCTCTGTTTGGACTTGGTCTTGTATTGATCATTCAAGTCAGAAGTTACTCTCCTTTCTCCAATCTGTCTCTGAATCTAAATCAACCATTTTTAATGTAACCACTCAACTTTTCGATGTCGTTCCATCATCCATTCATTTAAGGTTAAAGGTAGAAAAGTTTAATGGCAAATCCTTGACAAAGGATACAATCATCAACTTTAACAATATCCCCCCTTTGGTTAATGTTATAAATATTGAGCCAAAGTCATCAGTGGTTGTAAGAGGACAATTATTAACTGTTCAAGTTCTAGTTTCTTCTAGTGCTATTTCTGCAATTTCTAATTCAGTGGTTTGGACGTTGGATGCTATCAAGGTGGATAAATCCCAAGTATCTGAACAAACTTTAGATGATAAGAGAACAAGTACTGTCTATATTGATACAAGCAATTTAGTGGAAGGATCCGAACATTTTGTTTCCTTATTTACATATGATGCATCTAAGGGTACATCAAGTGAATCAAGCTACGGTTTCCAAATTGCTGTTTCTCCAAAACCATGTGAATGTGCTGTTTTACCACCCTATGGTTCTGCATTGGATACTGATTTTAACTTTATTTGCTACAACTGCAAGAGCGAAGAAAACCACATAGATTTGAGATATGGTTTCATTGATGATAGATCTGGTTTGAAGGTACCTCTTTATAATTTAGGAGAAGTGTATTCATCAAAACTTCCAGCTCCTTTCGAAGGTTCCAAACTTACTTGTTTCTTTGAAATGGTTGACACAACCACTGGAGCTTTTACAACAGTTTATAAGGATGTTAAAATTGAAAAACCAGTTGTTTCAGAGATTGAACAGGTGCAAAATTTTGTAAAGCTTTGGTCTGAATTAAGTACTTACTACTCACAGGAGGGTGAGTTTGGAAAGAGCTTTTACCAATCTGCCTCAACATCAAGAACCGACTCAGTCCTTGTTATTGATGCTTTTAAACACATTACAAAATCATCACGTGATTTGAGTATTATATGCCAAAATGGGTATGATCTTTCGGGAGTCTGTAAATGTCAGGATGGTTATATTGGAAGAAATTGTGATATTTCTATTAGAGATTTCTCCAACATTCAGAAGAGAAAACTTCAAATTTTGAATGGAATAATCTCTATCGCTAATAACACAGTTGTTACCATTAATGATGACTATGTAGGATTGCTTGCTTTTGCTATTGATTCTCTCCTTGTCAATTATCCATATTTGAACTCTGACACAATTTCTGAATCACTCACAACTTTGAATACATTTTTAACATACTCTTTAGGAATAGATGGACTTAAGGTTGCGAATGGAGTTGAAACCTTACTTTTGAATTGTATTAAATCTGCAAGAGATTACATTATTGATAGACAATACGTTGTTGATCAAAGTTCCAACTCTGCTAAACTATTGTCAGCCTTAATGAAATCCTCTAAATTAATTGCTAGATCTAATGCAGTTGGAAGTCCTTTGACACATTTTAATGGACCTTTCTATTCTATTGTTTTGAATAGACATACACTTTTCAACTTCCCATATAATATTTACGATAATAGCACCTTAACTTCTGTTGAAATTGAACCATTTGTTGATTTGAATTATGTCATGTCATATATTTCACAAAAGTATTTTGTCTATGCACTATCTGTTACGCAAGATATTTATTCATTGCAATCTAGATTGAGTCTTTCTCATTTGAATGAAGACTCTGATAGAGAAAGCTCTAATTTAATTTCTCCAATTGTTTCTTTATCATTCAGTGATGTTCCTGTTGATTTTGGAGGAGGAAATAATATAATTTATTATAATATTCCAATCAACAAGACCCATTATGAGCAATTTATAGTGGATCAATTGGATGTAACTCATGTTTCCAGATCTTTCGAATGTGGAAATTTCAGAGATGGTTCTTCAGAGATTAGAAAAGAATGTACCCTTGTTTCAATTACAGAAGAAATTGCCAGATGTAGATGCAGCAAATTGACGAATGTTTTCATTATAGAAACCAAAGTCTCAAGCTCAGTTTCCTACCTCCTAGTTGCAATTTTCCTCTCAATTGTTGTAGGGTTGTGCTGTATTGGATTATTCATTGGCTTAACAGCAATCTTCTGTTACAAAGCAAGGCAGAGAAGAAAAATCCATGACGATCACATTGTCCTCTGTGAAAATCAGTCAAACTCATCAATAGAAAACAGCACTGAATCAGTATCTACAACCCCTCGTGAAAAGAAAGAAAAACCACAACAAACAACAAATTTAATTGAACTCAAGAGCAATCAGGTTGTCCCAGCTGACCAAGACCTAGTTGACTTCTAATAAACACACAGAAGACAAACTTTTATGAATTCCCACCAAAATTCTCTGAAAAAAATGTCCAAGTTTATTGACAAGGCAGCAGATGATCATCAATCCCTGTTAGAATTGAACAATAATTTCATCACTGTGCTGAAAGAATTAAATGATGAAAAATCTGCATTTTCAAAATCCCTCCTTCCCAATACTCAACATCAATTAATTATTGAGCCATTTAGAAAGTTAAAAACACATTCCGACATTTCACACCTTGATTTGTGCTTGGAAATTAATGAATTTTCAGAAAAGCAGTGAT